TTTGCACTATTTCTGGCAGTCTGCAAAGGCCCAATGTTAGGAAAGGTGTAGGGATGTAGAAAGAGAGGTAGACTGGATTGTAGATGGATAGACTTTACTAAGGAGCTCACAAGCATGAATTTACAGAACGTAAGCAGCACAGTGGAAGATAGGGAGTCCTGGAGATGTCTCATCCATAGGGTCACCATGAGTTGGAGTGACATGAAAGTGGTTAACAACAACAAATCATGTCACCCCTCAATCTTCTCTTCATCAAGCTCAACATGCCCATCTCCTTCAACCTTTCCCTGTATGTTTTGTTCTCCATACTTCTTATCATCCTTGTCCTTCTCTGAACCTGCTCCAACTTGTTTATATCCTTCCTAAAATGAAGCACCCAGAATTTAATGCAATACTCCCCATGAGGCCTAATCAGTGCAGATTATAGTGGGACTATAACTGCTCTCAGCATTTGCTTTTTTGCTGCAGCATCACACTGATGGTTACATAGTGCATTTTCATTATTTCTATTCATGGTATTTAGCATGCCTCCAGTATTTGTAAGCTGTAAGAATTGGTAAGCAAATAAAACCTACCATTAATTAGTTATGGCCCTCACATCAGTTGTATATTATTAAGCATCCTGCATATATAAAAGGTTGTCTACACTTAGTACCAGATTGATTAGCTACATTTGCACACCAGCAACAGACTAGAATTCTGTAAAATGCAAATGGAAACACTGAAACAAATGACAGGCTTTCCATTCCCTTTTGATTTATTGTAATATCTGAACCCAACAATCTGGCATGCATCTCCCCCAACATGACAGAAAAATAAACCAAGAACTAATAATTGGTTATTTCTTTTGCATTTGGAGAAAGAAAGAAGACTGCTAAGTTCAAACACCTAGAATCCCAAGTAAATTAATAGCATGCACCACCACTTTGCCCCATCCATAATATATTGCCATTCTGTTCTTATTTTTAGACCCAGTAGTATTAAATTACTTTTAGCACTGCCACCCTAATAATTTGAAAGCATGATTGTTCTGATCAGTCTTTGGTAGGAAAGAAGCATACTGACAATATGAGAAAGGTGTCTGTATTATGACTGCAATCAATGCACTGTATCGCAACACATATAAAACCTTTATATCCATATTCAAGAACATGAATAATACCAAAAAAGTGCAGGTGTACATTGTGGCAGTGGCCCATCAAGTGCAGCATCATATCTTTTAGAAGCACAACTTTAAAAGATTCCCTAATTACACCTTTGTTGTATAAGCATAAGTATTCACTTAAAATAATACAAAAAAAATTACACTTTGCTGAAATAGTCTTCACAGTGCTGAAAAGCTGCATTTCTACAATTCTCACCTGAAAGTGTTTGATCATCAGAAATACGCTGATGCCTCCAAAAGCTAATAGCAGTCCTTTCTCGGTTCTGCAGCCTATTCAGTCTCTCTGCTAACCCTCCCCTAAAGAAAACAAATTATTATTCACTCAGACAAATCTATTGTAGTTTGTCCAAAATATAACCATATGATATACACTTTTGATATAACATATGCTTGCTAAACTCCTCAGAGCTGGAGGGATGTTGTAAAATCATACATTGTATAGATGTGTTCAGAATGAAAGTATATTCTACAGCCTATATTTAACATAAGCTGATGTCTCATACTGTTTTTCAGTTCCTAAAATAAAAAGCAGAATATTTTGAAAGGGGTATAAAAGGACTCCTGGGGTCAGAGCAACTTTCCAACTCAAGAGTGTAATTTCAGCTACAATTTTCAGTTGAATGTACTTTAAGCACTGACCTACATCATATTACTGGAAGATGTGTGACCACTGGCAAGGATCATGTCCCAAAATGCTCCTTACACATACTTGACCTCATGATTCATTTCAGAAGCTGGGTCAAGTGTGCACTTTGAGTGGTCTGAAAATTGTCCTCAGTTGAAATAGTTCAGTATTTGCAAAAGGAATGACATGCAAAGTAAATATACTTAAGGTAATAATGAAGGAACTTACAATTCAGATCCAAAACTATCCATATTACAAACTAAGAGATTATTTTACCTGAAGTTGCTTTTAAGCTAGTGAAATTATTGAGTAAACTGTTGAAATATGCAGCTCTTTTCTTTAATAGGAGCCAGTTTGAGAGCCCTCTATGAGCAAAGATGGGGTAGGGTGGGAGAATAACATGGCATTCTCTCCTAAAGCCCAGTCTTGTGGACCTCCTCTATTGAGGAGTCCTTCTAGTGTACCAAAGGTATAAGCTTTCAAAAGCACAGCTAAACTTAATTTCCTGTTAGTGACAGCATATTGAACTGAATGTCTACTATTTTAGCATTCTGTAATGACACCCCAAACAAGGCTTTCCTCTTTGAACCAAAAATATTTTTGAGAGGGTGTTTGGGGATAGAAAATTTGGCAGGAGGCATATGAAGCTTGGGTATTGCTCAACCCTGGTCAATAACAAAAGGTGGTCTAGCAATCCTAAACATTCAGAAGTCAGGATATTTCTTTCATCTGTGTGCACTTTAATGACTCGTAAATGTGGCTCAGTTTAAAATATGGACTTGCTTTGTGCACACCTACATTCTGAATTATTACACTGAAACAGAACACATGCAATATTTAATTTTTAAAGGCCGAAATAATTCCACCAACTGTGCTCAAGTCACAAGAACTGGGAAGCCAATAAAAATAAATGATTTATTTGTCCCTCAATAGCAGGGGTAGGCAACCTTTCCCCTTTAAGGGCCAAGGGACTTCAGCTCCCAGAATCCCAGGAGCTATTGGCCAACATGGCTGAGGCTTCTGGGAGCTGAAGTCACTCGGCCCTTAAAGGAGAAAGGTTGCCTACCCCTGCTCAATAGTATTGAAAAGCCTAAGGAATCCAGAGCTGCTGCTGCTGCTATTATTATTATTATTATTATTATTATTATTATTATTATTATTATTATTATTATTACATGGAGCCTCTTAACCAGTTCTTCACCAGCATTATGAGTATTATGAAACTCATGGAAGAAAGAAAATTTGCAGGCACTACATAAATGCTTCTGTCTCTGTTGCTTAACTTTTCTTTTGTTTATGGTGGTGTTACATGCAAACTTGGTTGCTGTTGTTATGTACCTTCAAGTCAACGATGACATATGGCAACCCTATCTATTTTTATTGGCAAGACTGATATAGAGGAAGTTTGCTTCCTTTTGACAGGGTGTCTGAGTAACTGCCTTCCTTTTAGGCTGAGAGTGACTAGCTCACCCTGTGGGTTTGCATGGATCTGACCCCTGTTCTCCTGGAGTTCAACATTCAAACCAGTATACCATGCTGACTCCCCATGTAAACTTTGCCATTTAAAATTAATTGTAGGAAAGCAGCTTATTGGCCAAGAGTTTAAGAATAACACAAATGCTCAAGGGTCTAGTCTAGCGCAGCCCCAGGATTCTCATCTTGGGTCTCTTATCACTTTTCATTTTAGCCTCAGGAGGCATTATCAGGAAGGGGAATGTCAATGACTGATTCTCCCACCATCTTTTCAACAGCAGGAGAACTCTTCTAAGCACAAATATAGATCATCTAACCCAATTTATTTCAAGCTTAAACATTTACTAAATTGAACAACATTTGAGTTTATTTGTTGCTGTTGTTTTTGTGCGCCTCCAAGTCATCAGAGGGTTTTCTTAGCAGGTGTCTTCAGAAGGGGTTTGCTATTTCCATACCCTCAGGCTGAGAGAGCATGACTTGCCTAAAGTTACCGGGGGGGGGGGGATTATGCTTGAGCAGGAATTTGAACCCTGGTCTCCAGAGCTGTAGTCCAGTGCTCAAACCACTACACCACGCTGACACTCAACTTGAATTTAGATAAGTTGTAAAACTCAAGGATATTCTAAATAGGTAACTATCCCCCTAAGCAGATGGCTTAAAGGGCTGTCTTGGGGGCAGGGAAGGGGAGGGGCAGCTGCACGATCGGCGCCCCAACCCCTTCCCCAGGTCCTCGGAGCAGCCGGCCCTCCGCACAGGCGGCGCTCCGGGGAGGACCTCCCGCCGCAGCATTTGCACGCGCTGCGGCGGAAGAGTCGCCGACTTGTGAAAGGAGCGCCAACTTAGCGCTCCTTTCAGGGCCGGCGAAGCTGCGCCGCGGGACCGAGGCGTGGGGATGCCTCAGTCCCGCGGTGCAGCTTCCTGGGGCGGCCCATGGCCGCCCATCTGCTTCCCCCCTGCATATCTATTGCCCCACCTGCTAAAGCACTCCTTCCTCCTTCTCCCCTGCATACTCCACTGCACCCTATTTCAATTTTACAGATAAATGTACTTGGAGATATATTAACATAAATGGGATTCTAACCACAGTTAGGACCAAATGTAGTCAGAAACCATGATGTGGTTTGCAAACACTAATTTGGGGATGAATACAGGAGTACATAAAGAAAAAGAATATGAATGTACAGGCTGTAGCCAATCAGCTAACTATGGTATAACATCTAACAAAAGGCCAAATAGCATATTGTGTTGAACACAGTAATGTTCATTATATTTTGAAGAAGGCAATGTAATTTGTTTCTTTCTGTTTGTCTTTTGAATTTCTTTAGTGTCTTCATTTTTTCAGGAACATAGGAAACTGCCTTATACTGAGTCAGATAAACCCAGCATTGTCTACAATGGTTGGCAGTAAATCTGCAGTGTGGCAAGCAGCCCCCATTGAAGGTGACCTAGGTAGTGAGATGTGGACATGACGAATAGAAGTCAATGAGATGTGAAACAAATATCATGCAAAGACAGTTAGTGAATGGAATAGTAACTAAGGGCCTTTGCAGACTACTAGAAATAGTGCAAATTGAGTCCACTTTAACTGCCCTGGCTCAGTGCTAGGGAATCATGGGAACTATAGTTTTCTCTGAGACATTGAGCCTTCTCTGTCAGAGAGTTCTGGTGCCACAATAAACTACAGTTCCCATGATTCCCTAGCACTGAGTTAGGGCAGTTAAAGTGGACTCAATTTACACTATTTCTGGCAGTCTGCAAAGGCCCTAGGAAACCTAATATTTGCAAAGGAATCCACGAAGACTAAAGGCCTAAGCAGACTGCCAGAAATAGTGCACATTAAATTGAGGCACTGCCCTGGCTCAGTGCTAGGGAATCATGAGAATTGTATTTTTTCCTGAGACATTGAGCCTTCTCTGTCAGAGAGCTCTGGTGCCACAATAAATTACAGTTCCCACGATTCCCTAGCACTGAGCCAGGGCAGTGCCTCAATTTAATGTGCACTATTTCTGGCAGTCTGCTTAGGCCCTAAGGGATTAAGCAGACCGGCAGTTTAGAGCAGTTGCTCCTTGTTTGGCACAGGACCATGGCAACCAGATACTGGGGTCCCGAGACAGGCCACCACTGCGGTCTCAAATGGGCCACCAGCAATGAGCACTTCTTTTGCGCTCATTTTGCCAGCAGCCCTGGGCTACCTTAGGCAGCCACAGCACAGCTTCGGCCCAATCTGGAGGCGTGTGTCATCTGTATAGCACACCCCCGGATAGGCCCAAAGCCGGTGCTTTTTGCCCATATGTTTCAGGCCTAAAATAGAATTATGAGGATAAAAGAAACCACTTTTCTTTAAAGGTGCAAGTGCAGGTCAGAATATAAAGTTGATATTGTCATAAATGGAAATGCAAGTTCTTTTTAAGATGTGCTATAATCCAGCCATATTGACTTCTAAGCCATAAACTCACAGCAATACCCCATCTTTGCACTGTTCAAATATTAAAATACGCATGTGACTTCTCACACAAATTATCTCTATATGGATAAGCAACACTCAAGTGGCCCTGACACGTTCTTGGGCAAAAGAAGTGTAGATGTTCACCAAGTATTCTGGCTCTCAACTTCCATTTTCATAAAAGCTAGCAAACATAGATATGGATTTTACTTCAATATGCTACTTTATTTAGAATATTATGGTTTTTGAAAAGAGGATTTTATACTTTCTTGGGTTAAAAAAACTGTAATTCCATCAAAATTCATTTGATATTTAATGCTCTTTCCTTCAACTATTTATTTTATTTTCAAAGCTTTGGCATGCTGCACAAGATGAGCACTGTTTTACCATATGGTATTTCAGGACATTCTATATTGTCTGCTACTTTGATAAGTAAATATATAACGTACAGCATAAACTGTGTTTAAATAAACAGTGTAATGTTTGTTTTGTTTTATTCAGCTTTGTGTCTCTAACAATATTGCAAAATAAAAAAGGAATTAAGAACAGATCTACTAAAAAAATAATACTACAAGAAAAAAATGTTACAAATTCATCATCCAATGCTATTTCTTCAAACATATGGTTTACAACTCTGAATAGATTAATATAACACAGCAAGTTTTTCTTCTAACTTCCCACTTACCTGATGACATACATAAAGCAGCCCCACCTATTTCCATATAACAGTGTGAATGGAGCTCAGGATTAAGATAATTTGCAATCTTGTGTCATCACACAACATTGTAAGATATACTAACTGCCAGAGGGGGAGTTTTAGGCAATACATGTTCTGTTCATCTTTCAGAAATCAAGGCTTATTAAAAAGTTCAACCAAACATGTTGAAGACCTCAAAACCATTTCTATAATGGTGGAGAAAGTCTGGAAGCAGCCTTTCAGGATTCAGTTAAAATGTGGCCTTCCATGTTCAGGGTCACGCGCCAAGAAAAATGAAAGTCATTTTCAAAAAGAAGCCACTTTGGCAGTGACGGGGGTCACCATCTACACACACACACACACGTCTTCAGAAATGTTCTCTTCTTTTCTTGTTTTTAATGTTGTCAAGATGTATCTGACCCATCTATTGGCAGAAGATTAAATAAATCAAAGGATGGATATTTTGAGAGTCTATGTGGAATAATGGTTTTGAGTGTTGGACTATAAGTCTAGAGACCAAGATTTAAATCCCCACTCAACCATGGAAACCCACTGGGTGAACAAGAGCAAGTCATAGGGGGGTTGCAGACTGCCAGAAATAGTGCAAATTGAGTCCACTTTTAGGGTTAGGGTTAGGGCTAGGGAATCATGGGAACTGTATTTTATTGTGGCGCCAGAGCTCTCTGACAGAGAAGGCTCAATGTCTCAGAAAAAAACCAATTCCCATGATTCCCTAGCACTAACCCTAACCCTAAAAGTGGACTCAATTTCAACTATTCCTGGCAGTCTGCAACCCCCCATACTCTCTCAGTCTCAGAGGAAAGCAAAGGCAAACCCTCTCTGAACAAATCTTGCCAAGAAAACCCAATGATAGTTTCACCTTAGGGTTACCATAAGTAAAAAATGACTTGAAGGCACACAATATGAGTATTTTAACTGGTGTTCAAAAAAGAAGAAAATAACAGAAAACTTGCTTGAAGACATAAGGAAAAACAGGAATGATGGGTGAACAGCAACACGTGTTTATGCAAACTACAATGGTAAAGTTGAATAATTTTGTCTTCACTGTACAGTGATCTATTCTTTGACTTCTCTCATGTGAGAGTGTGCTTGGTTGAAAAAAGTCACTTGTATGGTGTTGCTTCTAGTTAAATAGGCCCCCTTTTGCATGGACTACAGTCTTTGAAGTACTGCTTTCAAACCAAGAATTATCTACTGAAAACCAGAGGTAATGCAGTTGTGCAAGAGGACAGGCTATTTGAATTGAATACTTCAGAGAGAGATTTTGAGATGGCAGCCATTGTTGTGAATCATCATAAGACGATGATAATTGAGTGAATGCTAACAGAGATATTGTGCTATCAGCATCTACTAGAAAATGCCTAAGAAGTTAATTGGGCTGCCATGTGAATATCCACAAATGGTCAACTCTATTAGTTTAAAGATGAACTGCCCTTGGCCCAAAGCTCATGGATGACTGGAATCTGCCCCACTGGAGACTCCAAGTCCCTGCCCCACATCCCATTCCCAAAATCTCTCCCCTTACAGGGGAGGATAACAAGAAGATACTCCCACATCCTGCCCACTCTCCAAAACATATTTTTTCTGGAACTTTCAAGGCTAGCTGAGAGCATTTTTCTTCTCCTACTCTTTTATACGGAAGGCATAAGAAAGGCAAAGTTGGGAGCTCTGCCCCACCTGAGTTCCAATCAGGGCATTGTGTTTCCATGACCAGCAGAGAACAGTTAGTTCTTCCTATCCCTCCACATATGGGGCAGGAGGAATGAAGGTGGGTTCCCAGAAAGAGCACCAAGAATTGGGAGGCCTGTGGGAGGAACACTGTTTCTCATCCTTAATTTAACCCTCAAAACCAATTTTTTCAGTGTAGAAAGAATAAACATTACTGAGATGTTACATTTAAAAGACCTGTTACATGCCTTAGTAATTTTCTTTTTTTGGCAGAATCTTCTGGGGTTTTTGAACTCTTACTCATCTTCTTCTTAGGTGTCTGCAGAAGGGTCTGAGCAGATTTTAACCAATCACTCGCTGATCTTCCTGTATCTGTTTCAGCCCCTGCTCCAAATCGGAACTGGTTCTTTTGAAGAAAATTTAAATTAGCAGCTTCAGATTCAACTTGGCATTCTTCCAGATTTTCACTGTCTGATGAATATTCTGCAATTTCTATAGATCTTGCCTGCCAAAAAAATATATATATATAAAAATTTAAATTCACATTTAAAGAAGGAACAGCTGTCAGAATATCAACCAATAACCATATGACAAACAGTGTTAGTCAACTGCAACTCTCGAGACCAGGGTTCATCCATGGGAACCCCACTGGATGAACCTGGTAAGTCATATACTCTCAGCCCCAGAGAACCCCTTGATAGGTTCACCTTAGGATTGCCATAAGTTGGAAAGCACATGAAGGAACACAACA